TAAGGTTATGAATCTCATAAAATATATAGTTAAAAATAAATTAAATACATAATTAAAATAGAAATTTAGTCAATTTATAATCTCAAAATAAATAGGTCTACAAGTGGGACATTGAATCATGCAAGTTCAAACAACAATGATAAAAGTAAAAAGTCATTAATGTTATATAAAATAGTCAACTTTGCTCTAGCCAGCCTACCCAATTTGCCTTGCGAAATTCTAACAATACCGATCTTTATCAACGCATTTAAAATAATTATCTTCTACAACCTTAATAATTGTGAGCATATGAACCACTGCGCTCACACACACATCTTCGGAGATATTGCTCATTTCTCAATAAAATATTCATAGAATTTCAATAATACATTCATTTCAAATGGAAGGAGGAAATGCTTGGGTTCAATTCCACCACACACACACATATATATATATAAACACACACATCAAGTGAGAATTATTTTTTTGGACGATTCTAGCCATACAATAATTCGATTATTTCAATAATACATCGCTTTAGTTTTTCAATATGCATTTAATTTATTGTTATGCATCGCCACCAAGACTCCGATGGAAGACCATGTCACAGACCAACTGGAGTGTAAAGTCAACAATCAGAAAACAAGTTAAAGGAGGAGTCGATGCTCCCTGCCCAGAAGTTCCTCACACTTTTAGTTAAAGCTCCCTCTGAAGTAGTTGAAGTCGTCCCTCCATCTAAAGCCTCCCTTGGTTGGGGCCCTAACTGTCATTTAAAGGATCTGTAGACAATCTTTAGAAATGATTGATGCAACGTTTGTAATAATGAATGTCGAACTGTCAACCTAGGATGTAGGATGGTCGACCCCTTGTTAATGTATTAAATGCATAGTAGATTGAGTGATGTGACTTTGGTATGGGAGATGTAGCCATGTGGTTCCAATCCAATGACAATCACTTCAGCTAGAATCTTATAAATGAGGAACACTTGTAATATTTGTTCTTAATGCAACTCTTTACACTTAAAGCTATCATTGTCTTCTCTCTTGCTTATTTCATACTCTTGTTTGTTAGAATTTAGATTATATTGCTTCAATTGAGTTGTTAGTGAATAATTATTATTATGCAATCGATTGTAAATATACCGTCGGTTGTATGAACATTTTTGTCTCGAGTTATAAAGCATCTCCCACGTTTATATATGGTAACCTCCTTCGATCGAATCTTTGGTCAAAACATGTTGAAGTTTGCTTACTTAGACGTGAGTGACTTGACATTTATTGCCCACAAAATCACTACAAAAAACTGAAAGCCCAGGAATGACTAACCAAGAGGAGGGTGAATTGGCTTTTAAAACTTTTTTGAAAATTAATTCTAGATGTAAACCAATATGATAACAAATATGTCAATTAATCAAATATGCACAAATACGAAAGTAAGTAAAGACTAAATTGATAAATTCAAATAATAAGCGCAAATATAAAAGCGATAAGTAAAAGGGGAGAGAATATAAACGATATAATTATAGAGGTTTGATCCAAAGCAATGATCTAGTCTCCTGTTACCAAGCTCTTCGGCATGAGGAAGGCATTTTCACTATGTTGATCGACTTTTGTACAATCCAACTTTTTTTGTACAATCCAACCTTTTACAACACTTTCAATGACTTACAAATAAGGAGCACCGATCCTTTACAAAGTTGAGCTTTACAAGACCTCAGCACGACCCGCACTATTGAACTTTACGGGTCCTCAATATGACCCACATGACAACGTGCAACAAGAAGCACTGATCCTTACACAATGTTGAGCTTTCCAGGACCTCAACACGACCAAAATTTTATCAAAGTGATTTTACAATCAAATCCCCTCTTGATAAATAATACAAAACAAATTAAGTACTAAGAGAGGCTAACACTTTGATGAATAGTAACAAATGATAGTTTAAGTGTTAGATGAAAAACTTTGATGAAAATGACAATTAATTAGATTCAACCAATCAAAGTGTTTCAATGAGGAAATGAAGAAGAATTAAATGTAATGTAAATTCAAATAATCTTCTCAATAAATATCTCTCTTTTAATGAATAATTATAATAAATTAAGTACTAAGAAAGAAATGAGAAACTTTGATGAATATGATATTTTTACAAGTTTGATTTAATCAATCAAAGTTTTTCAATAAGAAGATTATGATGAAGTAAATATTATATAAATTCAAAAAAATCTTCTCAAGAAGTACTCTCTTTAATGAATGAACGCAATAAATTAAGTACTAAGAGAGAAATAGGA